AAATAATATCGTTATTCGAGAATTTTCGTTATTATACGTAAACAAGCAAGTATACCGACGACGACGACGACGACGACGACGACGATGACGCACGAAATATACAATAATTTTAAACGAACGCGATACTATTGCCGAAAAGTAAATGCTCGGCGGGGAGGGGTGGGGAGGGGTCGGATGAAAAAACTCGTCTCTCAATGGGCGGCCAAAGGGAGGCGCACGTTATCTGTCGAACGCCACGAGACAGGACGTCGTGCACCCGTGTATTACAATACGATACGGCAATGTCGGGCAAAAGTCTGGCGCGCCAGGGACGGCCGCTGCCGTCCGCGTTACAAGCCGCTGAGGTACACGCGGCAAAACCGAACGAGCAATGTGTACTAAAACGACTTTTTGTTCTACAAAATACTCGCACGAAATAATATACACACATTATTATTTATCTTATCGCCGGTTGTAAGCACGGTGAATGTGTGTCAGAGGATAAGGCTCTTTTATTATTATATTATATGGGCGGCCCCCGCCGACACTGATACGACGAAACGTATGGAAAACGTCGTGATTACGCGGCGGCGGCGCTATCAACTTGTTGCGGCGTTGATAACGCGCTCAACAGGCGCGCGCGTTTATAACCGTAGACGTCCGTCCGTGTTGTCGGCAACGGCGGCGCGGCGGTCCAAGAGACGCCGCCGCGATGTTATTAACGGGGCGTCGGGATCGCGGGCCCGGGTTTCGGTTCGGGCCCGCGCCGCCGCCGGATTGGTGGCGGTCACCGGTCGGCGAACCCGCGTGTCGCCGCCACCGGGCGGAATCCCGACGGAATTAACGACGAAACGCCGCGTCGTTAACGCGCAGACGTCGTGAGAGGCCCGCCGTCGCTAATGGGCCCGGCCTTGACTTTGAAATCGGTCATCCCGAGTCTATACGATTCCGATTCTACGTAAACGAGAAAATAAATTATCGTTCGGCCGCGTCGCACGTCTACCACACCCTGCCCGGTGTCGCCCAAAAACACGACGCACGCGACTCGATATAATAATAATAATAATAATAATAATAATTCGACTAAATACTTGAAATACCTAACCGGTCGACTGCGACCAGACGCGTTTCGATAATACCCAATAATAATAACAACAAACAACAATAATAATACAAAGTGGTATTATTTTCATTCGCGTTGATTATATTTATACGTCTCGCGTCGGGATTTCAGACGATTTCCGTTGGGCGTCGCGACGCGACGCGCGTCGCTTTCGTCCCGTACCGAAATATAATAATTATTATTTCGTTGCAACAGTATAACAACATGACGAGACGTCATTATCGAGGGGGCCCCGTTTCTGGGGCGGGCGATCACGCCGCAATATCGTATCGCGTTCCCGCGCGGATGCACAGCGATTTATATTAAATAAAACGCGGTGCGAAATATGCGCCGTGGAGGGGGGCGGTAAACGGGATGGGGAGGTTCAACGAATATCGGGAAATTCGGTGCCTACACCGTGTACTCCGGACGTTGACTCGAGTTGAGCGTTTTATAATTCCGAGAATATGAGGTGCCTAATGCGTGTACAACGAGTTTATCACGCGAGGAGGAAGTTTTCGGGGGAAGTTCGCGGGTGATGAGTTTTTTATTATTCTTTCCAAATAAAAATTCGAAATCCGAAAACCCGAATTTGTCGTTCTACTACTAAATATGACGCGCGACGTAGGCAGGGCCGTACTATGTGAGCGCAAGTTTTGTAGGCTGCAGCCTATGGGCCGGCATCGGAAAAAAATCAAACTGGTCTATCCTAAATACGATATCGAATCAAACAAAACTAGTATGAAATACTTCGCAGACCGGTGGGCCACTGTTGTAGGTGAGCAAATGGGAAGATAGGACGTACAAGGGAATTTACTCCGTATATGCGCGCGACGGTAAACCATTGCTAACGGAAAACGATTCGGAGCCAAGCTTGTTTTAGAAAACACTAGGTTACCCGCGCCAATTTTTTATTTTATTTCACCTATGTTCCCGTTTTGCTTTGCCCGTATCGAGCGGGGAAAAAATAGCTGGAAAGTGAATAGTCCCCGTCCGGCTGCGTTTTGGCGTGTCGTATTTTCTGTTTCGTAAACTGTACGACAACGACACACATGAAGGCAGTACATATATAGGAAATTATAATTGTAAAGAAACCATAGGATACCGACCCAGTACAGCGCACAGTTTTTTCATTTTATCCGTGTTACTAAGGTGTACCAATACGAAATCTACACGTTTATTTTAACTAATTGTTTACTAACTTTATATTTATGCCTAAAACCTGCTTTGTGAAGTAGTTTCGAAGCCAACCCGTAACAAAGATTTCCATTTTCGCTTTTTATACATATATATATATATATAGATGTACGAAAATCGTCTGGGTTTACCAACGTACTTTCCCAATTATTATGAAAACCGGTTGGAAAATCAAAAAAAAAAAATGATCACTTCAAAGTACCATCTAGATACGATTTCGTTTCGGGGAAAAATCCGCTGCACCCGGACACATCGGAGCGCGATTTGCGGTAGAAAAGTTGCTCACCGAATAAAAAGAAAATAACAATAAACGTCATTGTAATACATTCCACGCTAGGCTGCGAATCTGATAGAAATCATTTTATTTCGCATAAAGCCGAACACGGTAACATTAACACACGCGCTACACGGTACAACGGTACACGTCTATTTCGTTCCGTTATTGAAACGTTTCGAGAGTAGACATTTCAATATTAATTACATTGTTATTGATTTACAAATCGGTTCGCGTATCGCCGAGACGCGTCAACGAAACTTCGGCTTTTACGCGCGACGAAATACTGTGGCGGCAAAAACGCGGGTGAAATATAATTAATTTTTTTTTTTTTCTCACTATTTTGCCGTTGTTCATTGAAATATTACCGCCCGGTCGGTTAAAAGCGATTAATGGTAACCGAACCCGTAATACTATAAGAGCCGAAGGAATTTTCAGACTTAATACGTACACTCCCGTTGTTTGTACAGTAAAAATCGCTATGAAATAAAATTCCGTCGACCGTCGCTGCTAATTATATAAACTATATAATATAAACAGCGCCTGCCTACCTGCCTACCTACCTATGCATCCAGTAAAAATCGTACAAAAACTATACAATGAGATTCGTTATAGCGAACCGGAGAGAAAAAAACCCGGCGGCATAGGTTACAGAACAAAAAAAAAAAAAATCCGCCCGAAAATCCACGTGCAATAAAAACACCTTTGGCCGCCGCGGGGGAAGAGGCGCTCGTTATGCGTGAACCGCAAAGCCGTGCAAATTAAAAATTGACACGAGCCCTCGTACCCCGTGGCCGAAAACGTATATTTTAAATATCGACCGATACTTGCGTTACACGAATTACGAGAGAGAAAAAAAAAAAAAAGGTATTTTGTATATTTATATATATATGGCGTTTCTTCACTTACCAAAAGCTCTCAAGTAAGTGGCGTTATTATCTGTAACGTTGTTGGCCGGCATTATTGTGTTCGTCGTCGTATCGTCCGTTTTCGTGCAGATAACGCCGCCGCCGCCGCTGCCGCCGCCGCCGGACACCACAGCGGAGATAAGGCAGAAAAACGAAAAAAAAAACCAACAATAATAATAATAACACTATAATGTTACTATTAGTGCACCGCGGTAGTATTGGTGCAACAACTATGTGCGGCAGTTATCGTTTTTATTATTAGTATTATCGTAGTCTTATGTTTGATAAACGGCGAGTCTAATGGGTAAAAACTTTCGATAAAACCACGTCACGCGGTGCGGTGCGCGAAACGGCTGGCCAGTGTTGTGTGTGAATGCTGCCGGGCGAGGAGCCTACAGTGGCGCGACGCTCGCGAGGCGTACGATCCGCATCACCGTCGGCGGTAGTTGCGGCTGCTGCCGGCGGCGCGGTGGAAACACGGCGCGGCGGCGGAACAGGAGCAGAAGAGGAACGGACAAGAATAGGAAGGAATACAAACAAACGGACGGGACGCGAAACACTATTGTTGTTGTTATTGTTATGTAACCGCGCTGTTCGCCGAAAATAATAACAATATATTTGTATATTCTAATTCGAATGTATCCGCGGGGAGACGCGCCGAAACGAATAACCCGCATACAAACGTTATATATTTCCACGTTATTTTATTGTATTCGAAAAATAATAATATTAATGTTGTTGTGTATCGTTAAATAATATTCTATTATATAGGTACTGCGCGCGCCGCGGACGGCGACGGGGCACCGGCTCGGGATAGGAGGGAGTGAACGGCCCGCGCCGAGCGAGTGGGAGGGAGCGAGAGGGAACGAGAGACGGACGAGCGCGCGAAACCGGCCGGGAGGAGTGCGCGGAGACGACTGCGGGATGCCGTTGCTCGAGCGTTTTTTTTTTTCCCCCGTATGTTTCGGACGCGGCGAACGCCGGACGATACGCGCGGTAACGTGGTCGTCGTTTTTAACGTTTTTATCAACTAAAACATTATTGTTATTATTTTTCCACGGCAGAAATATTGTTATTTTTAAAAATACACGCGAAACGTGAAAGTATGTACAACAATATATAGTATTATATTATCATAATAACAGCGCGCGGCGCGTATTATTATTATTATTATTGTTGTTATTGAGAGAGGCGTAAAAATCGAGCCGTGTGTGTGTAATATGTCTCGTGCTTGTACGCGAACAATGATAATATTGTATATTATGATATTATTACTATTTGATTACTGTACGTAATAATACTGTAAACGACGGTGTACGCTGTGGATATACTACGACGCGCGCGCGGCGGAAAAGCGAACCGGTTCTGACTTCTGGCCAGCGGCGGCGGCGGCGGCGGCCCGTCGTGCGCCGGCGAACGCGGGCCGACACGCGGCGGCGGTAGCGGCGCGCCCGATCTCCCACCGCGGTCGTCCGCCGTCCGGGACTGCCCACTTTTTTCCGTCGCCGGTCCATTCGCGCGCGGCGGATACTGCGCGGCCGCCGACCGTCCGCGCCCGGATACTTCACGCGCGCCACCCCCTCGCGTGTATCCGGACAGCAATACGATTTCGCTGTTTTGGCGTCGGATGAATTGCCCTTTAATTCCGGTGCATACCAGCCGGGTCCCGTGTAAAAAAGCCCGCTGTACTAGTTGGTTCCCGGAACAAAAACGTTTTCCTCGCCGTTTTTAAAGACTTAGGACCGTCTAATAACATCTAAATCTAACAAATTCGTAGCAATTCATTTTTCCCAATATTTTTCCCTTGTGTACTACACCACAGTTTCTTCTTCTTCCCTCTGGAAATATATTTGTGTGAGCAGAATAAAACATTGAACTGAAGTGTTAGTGATGGGATTCACACGCGTTTGTAGTTCTAATTGTACTGGGCTTAAATTAAGATCAATAATTTTGGAGGGAACTTTGCGTCAGGACGTGATCCATATTGTGTTCGTACTTGATATTATTACTACGGTACAATAAATAATTATACACGGTTCCGATTCGAACCCAGCATTTTACACGATTCGGACGAAATATCTTTTTTCGTGATAACGACTGATAACCAGAATATTCTTGGGACCGTTCTCACCGACACAAACACAGATTTCTAAACTGAATATACGGCCGATACCCGATCGCGATTAGTCGGTTTTCTTATAAAGTCCGTTTAAAAATTTACGTTTTTGTTGGCGAGTAACCCTCTGAGGGTATGCGCTTAAAACGTCGATTCTGTTTCGCGCGTCCGAGAATTTGTAACGATTTTTGAAATTAGATTTGCATTTGACGCGCGTGAAACTTTCGCCAATATTTTCGAAACTTATTTTGAACTATATTGAACTTTGTTTTCCGAATTTAGATTAAATCGAAGTTATAATATGGATGAGGGGAGCACTTCACACGTCAATATCGTCGAACAAAACAATTACAAACGTGTGTGCGTTTTTGACTTTTTTCTAAAATAATTCAGAGACCAGCAATTTAAAATTACACCAATTTAAAACTATAAACGATTTCGATTGAAATGTCAAATTTCCTAACCAAAACTTTTTACGATTTTATATGCACCCGAGTTCGTTAGTAAAATATGGGTATTTAAAATACTTAATGTATTGTGCTGTATCGAAACTATTTATGGGACATTTTTAATAATACGTATACACTACTCGTATATAATAATAATATAGCAATGAACTTTTCAGTAGGTATTTCGTATATTTTCAGTACATTTGTTATAATTGGGTTAATCACTTAGGTATATACACTGAACAGCAAATACTAATGACCGTTATCGATTTTTTTTTTTCGTTGAAATTAATAAACGAATCCACATTCCACGGTCTAGTAGAAGATAAGGTCGAACCATGTTAATTTCCTCTCCGCCGGCCCAATGACTGGGTTTGAAATGTTCACCATATATTTTTTAAATAGCGCTGTTTATTAGACGTCTTTGAGATTAGGAATACGTGCGCCACTGCCGCCACTGTTCTAGCGCTACCGCGACCTGCGGATCATCGTTATTTAATACTAGTATAACTTAATCTTAAAGAGGTATCACTAGCAGGGCTCAATTTTACAGCCGCAACATTTTAAACGTATTATACTAATTAAGCGGAACACCGGTAATCAAAAATACCCGATCATCTTAGACCATGAACAAATTATTTTTTATTTCTAACTTGAATTAATTAAATTTGTTATTTTATTTTTAGTAAGTACCTCAGATTAAAGTTCGTCATTCACGACGCTCGTTTTAGTGTGGATCGCCTACTGGGAGCTGTGATAGGTGCCGTGATGAATACTTAAGTACTTTGATGGATCCACTGCCGGATCGCGTACTAGATTTCATGATAGAATATGTCCTACCTTGATAATCTTCCTTGATGGATTTTAACGAGGGCCAGTCAAAGAATAGCATCTTGTCACGGAGCCGTTTTAGTGATCGATAAGAATAGAATGATAGAGTCGAAAAATGACTTACTTTTTCAGCAATTAGATCCAAAAAAGTTTCCTTGTCATTTTTTAATTGGAGTAAGTTTTCTGTTCGAAAAGTTGATAACAGACCAAAAAAAAACACACATCATAGTCAAACTAATATATCCATCGCTCGGCTCCAAATCTAGAAAATATATTCTGTTTTGGAGTACACTAGTATTTAATCTGTTGTGTCCCAATGAATAAAATAAATATGACCATAGAGGAGTACCTACTTCTCAATCTTTTTTTTACGACAACACCCAAATTTTGATCCATAAAAATAGCGAAACACTCAAAACAAATAATCAATCCTAATATTCTAAATTGCCCAACATGTGAGACAAAAATTCAAATCAATTTCGAAAACACATTTTTTTGACAACCGACATCACGGTAATACGCGACACTTCGGTTGAGAACCGCGTTTATAACCTTATAACTTCTATATATACCTAATATATTGTTATAAATGTTATAATTATAGATATAATGTATAGTTATTACGCGCCATACTATTTTCATAATTTATTAAACTACTCTTTATTGTTATAGGTAATAATTTATAACTCATAGAGTTTATGCTGATTATTCTCCGCGTTGGTCATAAAACCATCGTACTTATGTATATTATTCAATTATGTCAAAATAGTGTGCATATAATATAATAAATAAATACAGAGAAATTTAATTGACTGTACTCGTATAAATATAAATTATAATTTGATATGCTACAATAAATAATAATATAATATAAGACCAATAGGCGGCTGTTACAAAATCGGCAAAGTTTATTGAAAAAAATCAGAAATAAATGATTTCATTATTTTCAATATTGTTTTTTCGTTGTAATTCTTAAAGACTTGAAATTTGGACAGAAACATTATCTTTCCTTTTTATACACGTGGTCAAATTTTCAAAACATTTGAGCCATTTTTGAGCTATTTATAAATATTTTAACTTTCCAAATTTTGACGCTTGAAAATTTAACAGAATAGTAAGACTGTACTGAGTTGTTAAAAAAAAAAATGATTATAATGTATTTTTTTTAATTAGAATTTTAATATCAAATTTTGACGAAAATCGTTAATATTAAGACCATTCAAAATATGATTTATAACCGACTTTCCTATGAATCGTTTTTCGTTAGCAATGATTAGCAATGCATCCTACCTTCCAAACTTTCCGCCCACAATAGTGACACATTCGTCCCCAATATCAGCTCATTTTTTTTTTTATATTGTACGAATGTACACCCACAAAAGGGCAATATGGTATATGTTGTACGTAATACGTCTGAAATTTAAATGAATATGCTATTTAATACTCGTACAATATTATGTAAAATACAATTGGTTCCGTAGAGTTAAAACAACGACAAAATTAATTTCTAGCAGATATAACGAGGGAAATAATATACAGACATTTGACACGTGGACCATAATTGTTGTCCGGAATACCTCCCTTCGAGCACCGCCCATAAAGTAATTATTTATATAAAAATTTAAAACCGAAATGGCTTAGTAGTTGTCAAAATATGACGTGTGTTTTGAACTAAAACGGAACAGATAATCAAACGAAACAATGGTGTAATACGTAAAACTGTTTTTAATCGTGATACCTATATTATCCGTTCAGTCAGGTTCGGATTAAGAGGTAAGTTTGTGTAGGCTATACAGTCAACATCAGAAGAGGAAACCCACAAAAAAGCTATAAAAAATATATGTTTTTTTTTATTAAGAAGACGCTATACGCCCGCACATACTACCTCAGTCCAACTAAGAGGCAATATAGCACAACTTACCTTACGAAAATTGCGTAAAACTCGCTTAATTTTGGTTTTAGAGTATTCATGTGTTTTCGAATTCGTCCCCTGAGTTTCGGTTCCTCATCTCACGTACAACAGGGGCCTATCCAGTAGATTAGAGTGTGTGCAGTTTACTAGACAATTTCATCGGGTCGGGCTAAGTGTTTCGTACAATATCATTATTGTTTAACAGCGAAATTATACAATATCGGTGTTGTTATCACGAACGACGAACACGTTATCTATGCGTTTTGGCAGTTAAAACGTATCACCGATAAGCCATTATAAAACGGGAAAACAGGAAGGTTATATAAATGCGGAAACGTGTGCAAAACAGTCGCGGACACAGTGGCGTAGCGAGGGGAGAAAGGGGTGTTTTGTTGTTCGAACTCCACCTTGGCCATATTTTTAACGAAAATTATTATTTTTACTATAATATTATGCAGAAATGCATCTGATTTTTACAAGATGTGTTACGCATAGATATTAATTGTTAAGAATAATATGTTACGTGTGTTATACGTCATGTTTGCACAATAACGTTAAAAATTTAATATCTAAGCACAAGATAAAAACACCCCTCTAAAAAAAAATCATGGCTACGCCGCCACACACTGCGAGCGGGCGATAGAGGAGACGCGGTAAACCGATGTTTCGTTACGAGACTCATCGATGGACAGATCTGGAAGAAGAAACGATACGACGCGGGCCAAACGGTGCGCGAACGTAGGTCGGGCCCGTCGCGGGCCCCGTTCGCGCGGACCCGACCCGCGGATTCGCCGTAGGTACCGGTCGGCCGCGCGGGCCGCAGCTGTTAAACGACCGGAGAAAAAAAAAACCCGTCACAACCCGTAATCCGTCACACTGGTCACGGGCCCCCGCCGATCGGGGCCCACAACCGCGTCACAACGACGATGTGGTTTTCTGTTGTACACAATGTCTCCGAATCGGCGTACCTATAATAACCCAACCTAACCTAGCCAAAGTTCCTGAAGGTTTTTGAAAGTTATTTGTATTGTCACTGTTATTGTTTTAATAAGCCGACGAGGCTTTACCGTTGCAAATTGCCATCGTGTACACTATAACTATACACTGCGATAACTATTATCACCACTTATAACAATATTATTTCGATCGAACGTATAATTGTCGAATAATAATTATAGCTCCCTCCTTTCTATTCGAAAAGGTATTCCATTACGCGTTACGAATATTTAGCCACGGTTTTTAAACGGGATCGGCCCAACCCGTATTTTAGATGTTCCGTATGGGCAATTTTTACAAAATATTTGTGTAGATTCGAAAATATTCCAATTCAAAAGAAAATTCAATCTGTCCCGCCCAGTTTTGCCCGTGCAATAAAAAAAGTTTCTAAATAAAGTCAATACATACATTATCATTATATATGCTATTACCATAGATACCCGCAAATCACAGGGATTGCTCTACATAAATTAATACCAATATTTCTTTCATCTATATTACCAAGGTAACCCATAAATTAACAATAGTAATTCGATTTTCATACTAAAAATATCTAATAACCGAATTTCAGGGAATGGTATTCAATATGGTGTAGATATCAATAGCTAATAAACCGTATTCAGACAACGTGGAACAGCTTCTCAAAGTTTAATGGCGATCGGATGGTGTAGTAATGCACAAACATACATGTTCTATTTTAAATATATAAAAGATAGAGAAAATAAAACTATGTTCAAATTGTATAGTTATGTCATGAGTAATTATTCGGTTAAAGAATGCTAAATTTTTTATCTCTTTGAGAACGATGAAGACATTTTTCTTAAATGCATCATTTTTATTGATAGGTATCATATTTTTTTTTTGATTTGATTTGTTTAATTAGAATTATTAAATAATTTTTAAATCGTATCTACGTGGTTGTAATAAACGTATTATATAATAAAATTTTGTCTTTCGACTTATTACCCACGGTGACTGCAATAGGTATAAAATAATACAATACATAGACGCGCATTCCCGCCAAAAGGATTTAAGCCGATTAGTTTATAGCTTTAACATGTTGACATAACTTCAACAAAGTTCAGATTGACGTGCTCTCCGGAAATAGTAGAGAAAAAGTGAACTAATTAATACCTCAAAATTAACATAGAGGAGATAGACAGAATCTTTACCTTATCTCCCAAAACCGCGAAAACCGCGACAAACAACACACTTATCTGCAGTGACATTATTTATTTGCGTAAAAAATCCTCGCTCTTAAAAAGCAAATGTGGCTGGGTTATCTAATTTTTAATCGCATGATTATACGTTCTAATGAACGTCAAATAAATGAAGAAAAATTGTTGATATTCGCTATCGAAAATTGAACGCATTCCCAAAGATTTCCCATATCATGACGACGATATTCTTCCAAACCGTAAAATATTTTTTTTTTGTTGCCAATTACTATAATATTTATTTATAGGTCGCAGAGGACGTATAAACACGAAAACATCGTTTTTAGTGTTCCTAATTATTATTCCTACATATTATTTGTATTTATAAAAACATGTGTTTATTTGGAGTGTCGCAATTAGAGGGAGTTGTAGACTGGAATATAATATATTCCCGGGAGTACAATTTCTAGGTTTCAATATCATGTGTTTTAGATTCTGAGTGGAGCGAGTAATGTATTGGTTTTAGAATAATTTTTAATTTTTTTTTATTTACAATGATAGCACTTTTTCTAATTGGAAATCTGACTGGGGAAGTACTTAAGGAGGTCGCTTTTTGATTTTCTCAGGAATATTCGCAATAAGTTGAAAAAACCAGGAAAAAACTTAGGAAAATAGGTACAATATTAATCAAATATTATTAAAAAAAATAATGTTTTAACCGTGTAATTATTTTATCATAATATGACACATATATTGTTGATAAAGGAATACTATCTACCGAACTCCACTTAGAATCATTTTTTCGTTACCAATGGTTTATCGTTGCGTACAGATATACATTCAAGGGTATAAAACCGCACACTTCCCATTCATAACCGCATATTTTACATCGTTCAGTACCGCACACGCTTTGTCTATCGTTAAAAATACAAATTTGGAAGATCGATGATTTAAAACCGTACACATTTCATTGGCAGTGAAAATCATTATAGGTGAAATTAGAGACCAATTATGGTCACTCGTTGGCTGCGCTCACTCGGACAATTTTAATCGAAAATAACCCTCGATCTGTTGGGAATTGGTTAAAATCACGTCTGATAGAACACAAAATAAAATGTGCGCGGTATCATTTAGTGGACATTATACATACTAGTGTGCGGTTATGATGACCGCCGACAT